ACCAACCCACATAACCTGTTCATGTCTATTTGTGTGAACACTGTATGACCCAAGAATAGAAAAGAACGATTGTAGGGCAGAAATGCAATCCATTTTCTGCTGTCTGACATTAATGAACTCGCCCAATAGCTTCAACTTCAATCAAGAACCAAAGGCCAAGGCATAACAACACTTCTAAGTCAAATATTAAACTAAAACCATGTATCAACTACCACTAAAAGAAGTGATCGAATTACTAAAGTGCATGTTTAGCATTAATAAATTAATGTCAATTATCAATTTATTAATTTTTAGATTAAATTATATATATTTATTGTTTGTCCATGCGCAAGAAAATAATTATCGATTATCTAATGCATGGAAGTTGTAACATTTTTTTAATAAAGTAATGTTAATTGTCCGTTATTTTATTTTCTTAGATTAGAAGACATATTTTGTGTTTTTTAATGCGGAACAGAAAAATAATGTTGGTTATCTAGTATGTGGCAGGTGCCATTTTTTTAAGAAAAATGTAAAGTTTATCTATTAAGAAACGAATGATATACTGTTAATTGTCTTATCATATATTTTGACTTATACATATTTCTGATATTTAATTAATAGAATATAATATGTTTATTATTTATTAATATTAATTATAAATAATAACTAAAAAACAAATTATATAAATTTTAACAAATATATGTATTTTTTTGCACAAAAATCCTAACCACAATGGCGACTGAGTTCTCTAATTATATAGTAAATAGATAGTAATAAAAATATTTACTTAACTGGGAAGTTTGCGACGGTCAAATCTTACACTTTGACTGCTAACGGGAAGTAGTGTTCTTCATCAAGCCCCGCAAGCTGGGGCATGATTGTTGAACTGAATGAGCCAGAGCTGAAAGTCACAATCAGGGGAAAATCTCCTAATTTAAAAATAAAAATAAAAAAAATAGCCAAAATAACAAAAATAGAAAAATGATAAAAAGAAAATAAAGAAGAAATCTTACAGCCGGCTGAGGTTGGCAAAATATACTTCATGTAGTTGATGGAAACGAGGCCCCTCGCCTCATATCCTTCCATTCTTTTCTTAAATTTGATGGCTTCTGCTCGTTTTGGATGTGGCTACTTGGGGGGGACGGTTGGAGTCCCAAACTCCATGCAAAACAAAACGGTGAATGTTATGAGTCACCGGTTCCCATCTCCAATATGATGGATCTGGATTGGCTGCCCACGCCCATGTTAGAATAGAATACCCAACATTCCAATCAGATTGGATACATTCTACTTGGAAAAACAATTTATTAGAATTTATATTACTAAAAGGCGTTACTTTATCTTATGTATTTGCATATATTTGAACATATGATAAAGTTCCTAGATCATTAATAGTTATAAGGCATGGTTACGCATTGGATGGTAATCATGGTACATGCCTTGAAAGTTGTGATCATAAATAAGGTTCCAAGTCGATGGGTATTTCGAGATGAGATATCGAATAATCCGGTAAGACTTGCACATATAATGTATGCTTGTTGGACAAGAATGTTGCATTCCATCAACATTAGCAATAGATGCAAATACATATATGTGGGTGTTTGATAAAGACCAAGTTCACTGAACATGACCGTATTAAAATTCTTAAATGGAAGTTTTACTATGAATAAGAATTTTCAAGTTGCAATAGTATATGATTGATCCTTTGACTTCAGGCACGATAGTAATCTTGTGAATGTTATACTTTACTTTGATTTATCCTTTGGTTACTGGATAATCGTAAAAGGGATATTTTTGGGTATTGTATTAATATATATGGAGGTTTATCAATGGGCCAATAAAGAATTCGACACTTATGTAGACAAGTGAATTTTCTATGTTTTTCATAGTTTGTGATTCAAAGACCTTGGCCAAGGCAAGATGAATATGGATTCATAAAGGAATCACTAAACTTGAAATGAAATCATAGTTATTAAATCAATTGAGTTTCGACTTATAAAAACCATACCCAAGATTCAATCGGAAAATTAGTTGTCGAAAGGACTTTACATGTATGCACTTGCAATCGAAAAGGTTTACTCGGTATTTCA